CTCTCACACACACACACACACACACACACACACACACACACACACACACACACACACACACACACACACACACACACACACGGAACCAAACAAACAAGTTTGGCGGTGAATTTTTCCATGTTATAGCCGTAGATTCGTCTGATTTTGCTCATCCTATCGATGGAAATCGCGTGAGGCTGGGCGCGTCATCCTATCGATGGAAACTCTCTCTCTCTCTCTCTCTCTCTCTCTCTCTCTCTCTCTCTCTCTCGGTGCTCTGGCGCAGTTCGTCAGGGTGTCCGGTGGTCCGTTGGGGAGGTACCTCCTCCACGAGTACCCCGGGCTTGGGAGTTTTTTGTGAATTTTCGTACTTTTTAAACCCGTTCGAATTTTTGCGGCTTTTTTTCGTCTGTTTTTTTGCTATACATTGGAAAATTAAGATTTTTTTATGTGGCATTTGCTTGAGCTTCCTTTTTTGCCCTTTGCTGGTGTTTTGGATGTCCTTTTGCTCTGCATAGTGTATTTTGGAGGGAAGTTGGTTCCGAGTCGGTGTTCGTTTAAACTTGTTTTCGCCCTTTGCCAATTTTGCGAGCATCCTGGACCCTTTGGCATTTACGGGAGAAGATGTCAGTCAGGTTTTAAGTTTGGGTTATACTAAAAAGGGAGAGTTTTTTGCGCGATAGTTAGAAATGGAAAGGAAGCGGGANTTTACGGGAGAAGATGTCAGTCAGGTTTTAAGTTTGGGTTATACTAAAAAGGGAGAGTTTTTTGCGCGATAGTTAGAAATGGAAAGGAAGCGGGAAGGGTCACGACGCTGTAACACAATTTCCGAGAAGTTAGTGCTGAAAGATTCGGCGTGGTTRAAGCATGTATGTGCCACGGGCGTATCTGATCACCGACACTGGTAAGTTGAATCTGATCCATATTACGATGATGAKGAGGAGGGGGGAGTGGAGCCGATTCTCACTATGATTGGGAGGGTGAGAGAGAAGGTTAAAACCGTGGATTAATATTGGTAAGGACGGTTACCCTTTACCAACGGTWTGGCGCACCGGAAGGGATGCTGGATGCTCTGACGGAAGGAGTAATAGTGGGAGAGTAGGGGGGAGGTAGATGCGGCTGAGCGAAGAAAGAAGGGACGGGGATTGGATGTAGGGGATGTAGATAGGAACTGATGACGCGCGCGTGGTTCAAAGAAAAAGGTATTTAAGAAGTGATTGTGATGCGTACGACATCTCGATTTCATGTGTGCCTCCTGATGAGCTTGCTGGAGCACGCCAGCAGCGAAACGCGTAGAGGCGTTGCGTGCTTGAAGTTATTGCAATATTATGAGAAGGCTTGGAGTTGCGGTTATCCGAGTGTGTTCCGACTTGTTGCTTTTCTTCTCTACCTTTATTCTCTGTTAACGTGGTAACCGGGTTGTTTGGCAGTAAGCGGCGGCTACGATTTGGGTTGTGGTTTTCAGCTTCTGTTCTTCGTTTCGACGAAGTACAGGTGCTCATCTGCTGTGGAGAGAAGGCGTGATCGTCCGCGCTCGTATACAAGGAGAGAGAACTTTGAAGCGTGACCGTCTTCACTGCTTGGGGCGTGATCGTTACCCAAAGAGCAACGTTTTCCAACGGATTAGGCACGAGGGTAGGGTGTACCGCATTAGGGAAGGAGTTGAAGGTGTCATTGAGATGTCCTGATAGGATCGGTAGTGGGACTAGCGCGACGTTGGGTATTTAGGAAGTATGACAGATAGGAATTTTAGGGAGACCGCATTTTTTTGTACGTGGCTTGAGTTGGAGAAATGTGTGTTTGAGGACTTAATTCCTCAGCTCTACGTGTCGTTAACTTTCGGCAACGAAGAAATTAAGGAGGAATTTATTGACTTGTTAGAAAAGTGTTTAGGGTGGGTCTATACCGTGGGTTGCATAGTGAGAGATCGGAGAAGGACAGAGAGGAAAAGATTGAGGAGGAGAGGCAGGAATGGCGAATCTACCAGTACAAGGCGCACCCGTTCCAGGGTATGGTAATAACGCTCCTTTCATGGGCGGGATACAGCCCGGAGTTATCACGTGCCATTTATGCGGCAAGGTTGGGCATTATGCTCGAAACTGTTGGTCAGTTGGTAATGGGAGGCCCACCTCAGTTCCACCGACCACTACAACTGACCCGCAAGACGATGAGACGAAAGAGATGAAAGAGTGCATTCGCAAGAAGATAAGGAAGCGGAAGGCAGACCTGGAAAGGAAGGAAAAAGAGGAGGAAGAGAAGAAAAGGAGCGAGGAGGAGAATAGGAGAGAACAGGATAGACTGAAAGAAGCGGAAGCTAGGGAAGCTCGTATGGAGGCTCGATTGGTACGACTCTTGGCACAGCACACCAAGACAGTTGACAGAGGAGAATCATTAGTAGGGAAGAAGAAATCTCCCAAGACCAAGGCGAGAATGCTCCGGGAAATCAGGAGTTATCTCGTTGAATCAGATGATGATAGTGAGGAGGTTAGAGAGGAAGCTGGGAAACTGATCGAGGCGATAGGGAAAGGGAAGGGGAAGAGGAGAGAAGTCGTGGGAGGTGTGGTTTCGAGAAACCAGCGCCAAGGTCAGCGCAACGATCCGGTGAAGATTGAAGAAGATGATGAAGTGAGAACACCCCCAGCTGGTAGGGGAGGAGCTGGACCTGATGTTGCTAACAGCGATATGTTAGATTTCGCCATTGAAATGCACCGACATTTGTCGGGGAAGAAGGTTCCGGAGCTTAGAAAGTTGTGTAATCGTGAGGGTATTGAGTGGTCCAAACGTGACGTGGCGATCGGGGAACTGGTTAGGTGCAAGGCCAAGCTTGCCTACGGGGAGTTCGTCGAGAGCGGTAGGATTTCCTCTATTTTTGAAAGGTAGGTAGCATGGATGTTCTTCGAGAGCTCAAGGATGTGATGCGCAGGAGAGGAGAGGAGGTTAATCAGGACGGAAGAGGTCTGAAGGTGGGTGAAGAAGATCTTATTTTTTGCTTATTCTTATTATGCGTAATTAGAGGAGAATGCTCATGGGGGAGGAAATGGATTGGGTTAACCGCTGGAGAGGAAGCAGACGTGTCGACCAATGATCCAGGGGTATACGCTGTAGTGAGCCCGTTTTGTCGGCATTTTTATATCGGAGCGACTACCAGGAAGATCATCATCCGTTGGTCGGATCATGTGAAAGGGGTGATCAGCAGGGAAGCAGGTAACGCTCCGAAACTCCACAACTGGCTGAAGATCTTCGGATGGGAGAAGTACCTCGTTCTACCATTGGTGTGTAATGTTTCTGACCCCTTTACAGTGGAGAGATCTCTGATTCAAAGGTTTTCTCCAGCGCTGAACACACAAGGTAATAAGAATGAGGGAAGGTTAAGAAAGAAGAGGAAGGGAAAAAGGGAAAGGGGAAAAAGGATGAATAAGGACAAGGGAGGACCCGTGATTGTTTTTAACGGGAAGGCATCGATTATCGATGCTATTGTGGAGTTGAAGGAAGAAAATGGGATCAAAAGGATTCGATCGTCCGAGGGGATGTTGTGGGTTGACAGGTGGCAGAATGTGTAAGGGAAAGTGGGGGGATGCGTACTTGAAATTGAGGGGAGGTGTCTTCCTCTGCGCGAGTGCAAGAAGGCGTTGGAACGAGGGGGTAGCTTCGGGGTCCAGAGGATAGAAGTGGTTTCTTCCGGTGCTATTCGAAGGAAGAACGTACTCCGTGATTTGATGAAGCGTCCTGGTAACATTCGGAAAATATACAAGCTTGGCTCAGAAGAGATCGTCAATCTGTATAGGACTGCTGGTTTGTTCAGCGAGAAGAAGACTCGGAATCACTTGAGATACATGATTTCGAACGTCGCGAGGAGGAAGTACGGTGTGGAAGTGCGAAGGAGACCATGCATGAAGATTCCTTTTTCAACTACGATTAGACTTGGGGAAGTTAGACGCATTGCTACGGCAGCACTCACACAAGTTTTGCCGGATAAGTACATCCGTTCGTTTATCGGGAGACGGGTTAGAGTGGTACTTAAGAAGAGGATCACTGTGGGAGGAGTTCTTCACAACCACTGGTCGTTTGCAGAGAAAAGTGTGGGGATATGTGTATGTCAAGATCTGGATTTACCCAGGATTGAGGGGCATGTCCAGGTTAGGATTGAACACATTCCTGGTGTCCCAACGTTTGTGGTGAACTCAAAGAACATCACAAAGGGAGTGGGGCTATCGGGAATGATGGTGGCGGAGTGTATCAAGGAAGGTTTGAGGCCATGGTCGAAAGGGAAGGTCTTGCATCTGGACCAAGATGAGATTGGGAGGTGCGTTGAGGCCCGGAGGGCCGACTGTGGCAAAGCGATGTCAGCGAGTGAAGTGAGGGAAGCCACAGCAGCTTACCAGAACTTGGTTGCCGTTCCCATCGACAGGAACCCKGGCGCCACACTGCTCTTGTGCCCGCATCTGTATATTAAGGCGTGTAGGGAGACGTTCAACCTCAGTGCRAGTTATGTTGAGGAYAGGCGAGTCGAGAGTGARATTCTAGCGGAGATGAAGGAAGAGTACGGGGAGAAAGGGTTACGGAGGATAGCCAGGTGGCAATCTGCAGGCAAAGTTGGGCAAGCTTATGTCCTGCCGAAGGACAAAGATCTCCAGAGGTGGAGACCCATATCGCCATGCACCAATGATGCTGCGAGATTGGCCGGTTCGAGAGTAGGGAAGGCGATTAGGTACATGCTGTTTTGTTTGGATTGGCGGAGCCACTTTGATCTCAAGTTGATGGATGAACTTCGAGATGTGTGCGAGCGGATGGAGGGGAGGCTAGGGAAGATTGCGGATGCTGCATTTGCCAGAAGTTTCGACGTGAAGGACATGTTTGCCAGATTATCTCATCGTAGCATTATGGAGGCAATCGCCTTGGTGATTGACTACCACCAGAAGAGGGGGATGGTTGGAGTGAAGGTATGTGCAAGGGGGAAGGTGTGTGCCATGACCAAGAGAGCAAGGAAAGAAGGAGGCTTTATCTACATCAATTTTGAAGACCTCCGGTCGTATGTGGAGTTTGAGTTGAGCCACACTTTTGTGAAGAGCGCCGGGGGGATGCTACGACAAGTATTCGGCATTCCTATGGGGAGGAATTCAAGCCCAGCCATACCGTGCTTGGTGTGTGCTTGTGCCGAAGCCAAGTTCATGCGATCGCTTGGGAGGAGAGTTGCGTGGGTAATGGGATTACGCATGATCGATGATGTAGCCATTATAGCTGCATTCAAATCGGGAAACGAAGAATCGGCGCGAGATGCCGAAAGGATGATGGAGGACTTTGAGACCTGCTATGATCGGCAACTCTCGTTGGTCAGGAAAGATGAGGGGAAGAACTGCTTTGATTTCCTGGGTACTCGAATTTTCGTGATGATTCAGCTTATAAAGATTGTCATCCATCCTAGGACCAGGAATCAAGTATCCCTTGCAGAAAGAGGGACGTTGGCAATTCAATCGTTGCAGGATTACTGTTCGTTTTCAAAGAAAGCATGCAAGAAAGCGACGGTATTCTCGAACTTGATCAGGATGTCGAAGATTGCCAGCTCAGACGAAGCGATGAAGCCTGCCATAGCTGCTCTAGTTATGGAAACTCGCCTCCGGGGATATCCCCCGGAGGTCTCTCTCGGTGCTCTGGCGCGGTTCGTCAGGGTGTCCGGTGGTCCGTTGGGGAGGTACCTCCTCCACGAGTACCCCGGGCTCGGGAGTTTTTTGTGAATTTTCATACTTTTTAAACCCGTTCGAATTTTTGCGGCTTTTTTTCGTCTGTTTTTTTGCTATGCATAGTGGAAAATTAAGATTTTTTTGTGGCATGCGCTTGAGCTCCCTTTTTTGCCCTTTGCTGGTGTGTTGGATGTCCTTTTGCTCTGCATAGTATATTYTGGAGGGAAGTTGGTTYCSAGTCGGTGTTCGTTTAAACTTGCTTTTCGCCCTTTGCCAATTTTGCGAGCATCCTGGACCCTTTGGCGTTTACGGGAGAAGATGTCAGTCAGGTTTTAAGTTTGGGTTATACTAAAAAGGGAGAGTTTTTTGCGCGATAGTTAGAAATGGAAAGGAAGCGGGA